CCATCCATCCATCCATCCACCCATCTATCCATCCATCCATCCCTCCACCCATCTGTCTGCTCACTCATCCATCTACCCATCCATTTACCCTTCTGCTCACCCATTTATCCATCCATTCACTCATTCATCCATCCATCTGCTCATCCATTAACTCACCCATCTTGCCAGCCAGCCAGCTATCCACCCATCTATTCTACTCATCCATTCACACATTCATTGATTACAATAACCAGGGACAGTGCTCAGCCAGAGGGTGTAGGCCCTGTTGTGAGTGTGGAGAAGAGAGAGACGTTCTTTTTAGCTATGAAAAATCTCTAGGAAGGCTGCCTAGAGAAAATGACACTTGATTCAGGCCTTAAAATGCAGGTAGAGTTTATCATGTGGTTAACCGAGGAAGGAGAAAGGAATGAGTATCTTTCCTTAATACATTCCATAATTTTAGGTGGAACAAATACAAGTATTTAAAATTTTAATAGTTATGTATCAATTTAAACGTGTCCTATAAAATGTTTAACTAGCTCCTCAAGCCCATGATCCATGGCATAGCATTCCCAGTGATGTGGCATGACTCCCGTGCCCAGCAGGCCCCAGTTTGGAGTCTGGCCATTGCATCCGGGTCCTCTCCTTCATCCTCAGACCCTAGGGAGCCCCTGCTCTGACCATGGTGGGGTAGAAGACTTATCTCAGCCCCTCAGAGGGGACAGGAATGTGGGGGGAGCTCCCAGCAGGAGGCCTGCCCTGTGGGGGCCCCACAGGCTCTCCCTCCAGGCCCTCAGACTCCTTGGCCTGAGGACTGGTGGAGAAGGCTGGAATGTGGGAGCAGGCGAGCAGGCTCGAGGGGCTGCCAGAGTGGGGCGGCCAGCCTGCTTGGATTACAGAGTTGGCAGGGTCTTCGGAACATGGGGAGAGGAAGCCTCGAACATTCCTGCAGGGGCCCCTCTGGCCCGGGGAATTGCCTCTTGTGGTTTCTCAGTATGTGGCTGTGATTACGATGGGATTTGACTAAAAACACACAAGTCCCTTAATGGGCGCGTGGAAGTGGACACTTTGGGGGTGAGTCAAGGCACCATGGGGTGGGGCCTCCAGGCAGGGCCTGTTCTGTGGGTGATAGCATTAACCGTGGCCTTGCTGCCCAGCCTCAGGAAGGTCCCCAGGAGTCACTTCTGCCCTGTCCCCCACCCCTGCAGGTGCTGGAGGAGCTGGAGTTCTCCCAGGTGTGGGCATCGGAGGGGCCGGTGTGCCCGGTGTCGCCGGCGTGCCTGGTGGGGCTGGCGCCATTCCTGGGATTGGAGGCATTGCAGGTAGTGTCCCCTCCCATGAGGTGGGGGTTTCCTAGAGACGGGTGCGGGATGGGCCTCACCCCCAGCTGGCTGTCTCTCCAGGAGCCGGGACTCCCGCCGCAGCCGCCGCTGCAAAGGCAGCCGCCAAAGCAGCCAAGTACGGTGAGTGCCTGCGGGTGGCAGGCCCAGGGCACCCGACCCCAGGGGCTGTTAGGGCTTTGCTGTTGCCCATGCATGAGAGTATCCCCACAGAGGGAAGAGACCACTTCTAGACCCTTAGGCTGCTCCAGCTCCAGCTCCTTTGCCCAGGTCCCTCCCACCCTTCGGGCAGGCCAGCTGCCTAGGTGCCCACCTGGCCAGCGCTCTGCCTTCGCTTTCGAATTCCCTCTTACCCTTCTCACCCTCGAAGCTTTCTGAAGACTCTCAGTCCTTCCCCAGCTCTGTTGAACCAGGGTATGTCAACAGCCCTGCAGGGCTTCCCTCAGGCCCTATCAGCCTGTGTCCCCCAGAGTCACTTACCTGGGGTGTCCCTGAGGTTCCCATGGGGTCAGGCTAGAAGAGTAACCCTATTCCTTCCACAGGAGCTGCTGGAGTACCAGGCTTTGGCCGGGGAGTAATAGGTGGCCCAGGTGGCGTAGTCCCAGGTGCTGGGGTCCCAGGTGCTGGGGTCCCAGGTGCTGGAGTACCAGGTGTTGGGGTCCCAGGTGCTGGAGTACCAGGTGCTGGAGTACCAGGTTTCGGGGTCCCAGGTATTGGAGATGCAAGTACATTGGATTTTCTGTGTGTGTTTGAAAGAGAAATATTGAGGCTGTCACTCGGGTCTTTAGATGCTCTCTGACACCCCCCATACCTGGCTGCTCCCCCATAACCTTGATCTTGTCTCATCCTCTCTCCCCTGCACTCTAATCACTACCTAATTGACTACTGTCAGTGTGGTCTTCTCCAACTGACCTTCTGACCATTAGCATGCTCTCAGGTGCAAGAACCTAGTCTTTTTCATCTTCATGTCCTCAGCCCCTCAGCTGAGAAGATACAACAAATAGTGAATAGTTTGGTGGGTAGGTGGATGGATGGGTAGATGGACAGGCAGACGGACAACTGAGTTTTGGGCCTTGTGAAGAATGAGTGGGTGGGATGATGGAAGGTGGGAAGAAAATATGCAGACACACAGATTGACAGGTAAACAGATGGGTAGAAGAATAAGCATATGGAAAGACAGGTGAATAGGCAGGTAGGGAGCTGGATACATGGTTAGAAGACAGATGCAGGATTGGATAGAACAACGGATGAACAAGCATTGGTTAGGTGACAAGGGATTAGTCCTTGGTGAAGGACACCATGCTTGGAAGGAGAGAGGATCAATGCAAGAGAGGAAGACCTGGATGAGATGGATTGACACAGTGACTGTGGCAATGGGGTCAGGTGTGTCAGAGACGGGAAGGTCAGCTCAGGATAGGACAGGGTTCAGAGCTACTGTTCACAGGGTCACTATGAGTCAGAGTTGACTTGATGGCACATAACAAGAGATGAGGGGATGAACAGGTGAGTGACAGGAAGAAGGGGGTTCACAGATACACGAAAGATGTTTGGAGAAGTGATTGGATGAAGACATAGTTGATGAAATGAAAGGAGAGATGGGTGAAGAGATGGGCAAAGAGGTAGACGGCTGGGTAGGTGAATGAGGCCCAAGGATTGCCAAGTGAATGAACAGATAGACGGATGGACCGGCAGTTGGCAGACAGATGAGTAGACAGGAATATGAATGGGTAAATGGATGGATGGGCAGCTTCGTGTTGATAAGACAGAAGGAGTGCTGGCGGGCAGGTGGGGGACGAAGGTGCCTGTCTTGGGCATCTCCTCTCCATTCTCTCCTGAGTGCCACCTCCCCCTTCATATTTCCAGGAGGTGCAGCCGCTAAAGCCGCCGCCAAAGCAGCCAAATATGGTGAGTGGTGCTGCCCACCTGTCCTGGCCTTCACACGTCACAGCTAGAGGGCCCTCGGAAGCCTTCTGCACCCCTGACATCCGTCCAGGGTGGCTCAGAAGTCCCCAGCAGGCAGGGCTGGGAATTGGGTCCTGTGGGCTCTGGGACGAGGTCTCCCGCCGGGGCCATGGAGCTGAGTCATGGGGCTCCTGCCTGGCCCTCCTCATCCTGCCCACAACCCTCCCAAGGAAGCCAGGTCTAGCCGGGGACAAGGGCCACCTGGCCACAGTCTCTCCACAGCCAACAAAACTCTCAGAAAAGAGAGAGCCCAGCGGGTGTCTTAGTGAGGGTGTGGGGGAGTCTCCCCGGGGCCCACGGAGCAGACAGGGAGGCTTGTGTCCTCTTCCCCAACCGCCCCCCTGAGATCCTTGCCCTCCTGGTTATTTTCACAGGTGCTAGAGGCGGAGTTGGCGTGGGGGGCATACCCACATATGGAGTTGGAGCTGGGGGCTTCCCCGGCTATGGGGTGGGCCCTGGGGCTGGAGCGATCCCTGGAGCTGGTCTTACCCGTGAGTCCCATGGGGGTTACTATGGTGAATCTGGGGATGTCCCTCTTGTGAGGCTCTGTGGGACACAGGGGATGCAGACCAGTCTAAAACGCTGGGGAGCAGGGCCCCGGAGGAGTTGGGGGAGCGAGGGAAGGCCTCAGACGCCCCTGGGGAGGGACAGCTTGTGAGGCCTGGAGACCTCTGAGGGTCCTTTCTGCTTTTCTTCTTAGCTGCAGCCCAGGCAGCAGCTGCAGCGAAGGCTGCTAAATATGGTAAGTGCTGGAGCCTTGCGTGTCCCCAGGGCCACAGGGACGTCCTTTCCCTCCTCCCTGCAGCCCAAGCACCAAGCTCAGAAGGGCAGAGCAGGCCTCCACCCAGCCCGCTCCCAGCTCCCCCAGCCGTCCTCCCCCAGGCTCTGCTGAGGGGGTCCTGCCATTTGCCCAGTGGCGGAGTTTGTGGGCCCCTGCATCCCATCCCTCCTTACAGCCCTGACTTCCAGCCCTGCCCCTCCAGGAGGTGGGCACAGAGAACCAGGACTAGAACATTCTTCACTCCCCCAGCCCTGACCCTCCAGGAAGTGGGCACAGGGAGAACCAGGACTAGAACATTCTTCATTCCCCCAGGTGCTGGAGGAGCCGGAGGCCTGGTGCCAGGGGCCGGAGGTGTAGTCCCAGGGGTCCCAGGTGCTGGAGGGGTGCCAGGTGAGCTGGGTGCTGGCTCCTAGATGGTCTGGGTTTGTTTCATGGGAGACTCTCCGGGGGTCTACAGAGGTCGCTGAGCCATTTTACCGATGGGAACCCTGAGTCCAGAGATAGAGGGCAGAAAGAAAGGCATTTCCTCTGCAGTGGTTCAGAGGGAACAGCCACCTCTCCTGAGGGGGTCCTAGTTTGCTGAGGAAGTAGGTTTAGGGGGAGAATCTTCACTGCTCTCTCATCACAGCTTTGGGGTCCTCTTTACTCCAAGCGAAGTCTGAGTGCTGGACTCCAAGGAAGGGAGTGGACAAGCCCAGGACAGGGCTCCAAAGAGCCAGAGTGCCCAGCATAAGGAGGGGGTGAGCAAGCAGGGGCTTCTGGGAGAAAGAGCAATGCAGCCAAGTAGGGAGGGGTCCCTGAGACCAAGCCCCTCTTTATTACCACAGGAGCAGGGACACCAGCAGCTGCAGCCGCCGCCGCCGCGGCCAAAGCCGCCGCTAAAGCTGGCCAATTCGGTAGGTGGCCCACCCTGTCTGTCCCTGCACCCTGGGAAGCTGCTCTCTATCCCCTAGCCTGGCCCTGGGCTGGCCCACAACTCCTGAGTCACTTGACCACCTAAGGGGTGAGGAATAACCTTAGGGTCTTCAGGAGGCAGGTTCCAGTCAGAAATCTCCACGGCTGTTGGACCAGAGACCCTCACCTCAGATGGGCCTCAAACCCCTCTGTGCCACAGCCGCTTTGGCGAGAGCCATCCCTGGCTGTGGTAACCCTGGCAGCAAGCGTCCATGCAGTTACTCCTGTTTTATAGCTGCAGAACGGAGGTTCTAAGTGTTTCTGTAACTTGGTCAGAGTCGTACTGCTAAGGAACGGCTGAGCTGAGATTTGAGCCCAGGCCTGTGTCCAGAGCGTCCTTTCTGCCTCCGTCATCACAGAGCTGTCCTCCTCTCCCCAGTGAATGAGAACCTGCACCCCTGTGTGAGGGCTTGGGAAACTGAGGCACACCAAGACAGAGGCCACATGGTGAACAGCTCTTTACCTCTCTGCAGGAGTGGCCCCCGGCACTGGTGTGGTTCCCGGAGTGGGTCCTGGTGTCGTTCCCGGCGTCGGTCCTGGCATTGCTGTTGACCTCAGTGGTGTGAGAGGTGAGAGCACCAGTGAGTGCATGGGCCTGAGGCGCCCTGGATCCTCCGTGGACACCAGCCCTGAACCTCCTCCTCTCTCTCCCCAGGAGTGGGACCTTCACCTGGAGCCAAATCTGCTGCTAAGTTAGCCGCCAAAGCCCAATACCGTGAGTGTCCCCCTGCTTTCTCCCCCTGAGGTGCCTGGGACCCACTGCCCACCCCCCACTCTCTGAGGCACCCAGGACCCATAGCCCACCCCACACCCCAAGGCATCTGGGACCCACAGCCCACCCCCGACTCCCTGAGGCCCAGGACTCACATCCCACCCC